ATATTTTAATATTTTAAATTTCAATTTTTTTTGTAATAATATATGAATATTTAAATGAATTTTTTATTTATTAATTTATTAATAATATTTTAATTTTTTTATTATTAATCTTAACATCATAATTATTAAAATATCTTAATTTTTTCCCATTTAAAAAAACCCTATTAGTACAAAAAGAAAAAAAAATGAGGAAAGTAGAATAAAATGATTTTCTTAATTTCTTGGCCTTCCACTTAAATTCCGGTCTTTTGCGGAAACCGCGTGGTGGGATCAATTTATAAAGGACCGAACACCTAACTTCCACATTTTCATTTCTCTGCCAAAACCAAAGCTCAATCTTACAACCCTTTCCTGCTAACTGATCACCGATCGATTCCACTCTAAAGACAATTTTCCTCTGTCATGCAATAGATCTTATTTTCTTGTTCCAACATTGAACATTATAAAAGGAAATCCAAAGCTAGAAAGGTACTAATTATATATTCCCTTAACATGCATCTCATTTTGTTTGGTTTTCACATTCGGCTTTTCTTTTCATTATGATGTGATTTTAACAACTACTAACAGTTACTGCCCTTTTGCCTTGTTTCTGGGGCTGAAACCGGGTGGGGTGGAATCAATCGAAAAGGAGCGTTCACTCAACTAAAATCAAAGTAAGATCAAAGCACCATCCAAACTCACCACTCTTCTTTTTTATCTTGTTTGAACTTCTAAGGCATCTCCCCTGCTTTTAGCATTGGAAGGTACTTATTTTATATTCACATATGTGCTGCTGATTTTAATTTACATATACATACATGTCTGCCTTTTCTTCTTTTTCATCTTTTCAAATATTGTAGCTGCTTCCTTTGAGTTCTGAATCAAATTTACTGAATTTAATTTTGATTAGATGCAAATATTTCTTGTTATTTCCTATTTAGTTATTTCCTAATTTCATCGGAGAAGAAAAAAATTTTCAAATTTTATTTATTATCTTGTTATTATTTTTTCATGAGTTATCTTATTTTTTTAATTAAATCTGTGTAGTTTAATTTCATAGACACAGTTATTTCTTGTTCTTTCTTGTTACTATCTTTTAGTTATTTCATGATAAGTTGAAAGACTCCTCTTTTCTTTCCTTTTCTTTCTCCAACTACTTTGTTTCGTTGATTTCACATTCACACTGACATCAAATTGACGACAGAAGACAGAAGAAGCTTATGTTGACTCCTCGATGACTGGTGCTGCCCCAGCAGGTCTGCTTTATTTTTCTACCTCCTTCCAGGAAAAGGGACATCCATCAGCGCAACATGCTAATTCCAAGTTAAAAACTAGGCGTCAATAATGTTTTGAAAAAAAATTTAAGAAGTTATGAGTTTTAAAATTTTAATCTTCACCTTTAATTAAAATATTTAAAACATTTTACCTTCTTTGATTAAAATTATAATCTTTATTCGTCTTATTAAATAGTAAATAATTTTTGATCATTTTTTATTTTTTTAAAAAAAATTATCATTATATTACTTATATAATTCAAACTATATATATATATTTTTTTTGAGGGAAATTCAAACTATATTTTTTAACCCTTAAATGATAGTAACAGGGAATCTGACCATAAACCTTTATCCTTTGTCAAACAGTGATATGAGCGACAGCAGGTGTTGATTACAGCTGGATTCACGAGCTCTGCTTTTCTTTGCCTCTTCTTTCTATATTCTATATTGTATATGGTCCCCGTTCCTTGACCAAAGTCACACCTCGCGTGGTTAAAAACTCTGCAATCTCTGCGACTCTCCCCCAAACACTCAAAAGGCTCTCACTCTGTTTTTTTCGCAGAAGCAGCTAAAGGGAAACGTATGCTCCTGACTAGCCTCTGTTTTTTTTCTTTTTTTTCACCTTTTTTGGTTTAACACAAACATAATTAGTTTAGTTTCTTTGTAAATCTTAATCATATATAGATGATCTACTTAGTAATGGCAAGTACTAAAAGACAAACCAAAAAAAAAAAAGATTTTCATTGATCCTCATTTATCTTAATGGATCCTGAGATATATAATCATATCTTCTTGTTAAATTTTTTATATGCTTTTCATCTTGCTAATTTTCAATTTCTTTGAAAGATATAAATAAAATAAAAAAGATGAAATTATCAAAATAGTGAGGTAATATATATACAGTAAACAAACAATGGACATTCTAAAGGCAATCTAAAACCAAAAAGATACTTTCTCAATTCATTTT